GTAGAGGACGTGGGGGGAGACGAAGACGAGGAGAAGGAAGAAGAAGAAGAAGAAGATGAGGAAGAGGAAGAAGAGGAAGAAGAGGAAGAAGAGGAAGAAGAGGAAGATGAGGATGAAGAGGAAGACGAGGATGTTCAGGACGCAGGCAGGGCACGGAAGAGGAGGAAAAAGGATAGTTGGGTGGAGAACATTCCCATGTCGGCGAAACAAACCAAGGAACTTCTTTTTGCCTCACAGCTGCCGGAGTGAAGCTATACGCGCAGACGGAGAAGCACTACAGATGTTATGGCGAGATCATTTTTGCAAGTTGGGTGATGGAAGAAAAGGAATCGTTCGCCGAATTGTGGGTTTTAACGGGCAAAACGCTTCTCAGCTTCCTTCTTGCCTCGACGAAAATGGTGCCCAACAAATTCCAGATTGAGAACAAGAGGCTGGCAACAGCGAGCAAAAAAGGTTGCAGGGTGTGTATCCTCATTGCCCTGAACTCCTGTAGTCCTACAACCACCGAGCAGTATTGTTTCTGCTAAGTGATTATAGTTCTATAATCTCTGCTAAGTGATTGTAGTTCTAAAATCTCTGAGAGTCTGTCTGTTTGTCTGTCTGTCTGTCTGTCTGTCTGTATCTGCCTGTCTGTTTGTCTGTTTGTCTGTATGTCTCTGTGTCTCTGTGTCTTTGTGTCTCTGTTTGTCTGTCTGTCTGTCTGTCTGTGTCTGCCTGTCTGTCTATTGTATGTCTGTTTGTCTCTGTTTGTCTGTCTGTCTGTCTGTGTGTCTGTACGTCGGTGTGTTTATCTGTCTGTCTATCTGTCTGTCTGTCTGTCTGTATGTCTGTATGTCAGTGTGTATGTATCTGCCTGTCTGTCTGTCTGTATGTCTTTGTGTCTATGTGTCTCTGCCTGTCTCTTTGTCTCAGTATGTCTGTCTGTCTCTGTCTGTCTGTCTGTCTGTTTGTCTGTCTGTATGTCTGTATGTCTGTATGTATGTATGTATGTATGTATGTATGTATGTATGTCGGTGTGTATGTCTTTGCTTGTCTCTCTGTCTGTGTCTCTGTGTCTCTGCCTATCTCTTTGTCTCCGTATGTCTGTCTATCTTTGTTTGTCTGTCTGTTTGTCGGTGTGTATGTCTCTGTCCTCTGTCTGTCTGTCTGTGTCTGCCTGTCTGTCTCTCTGTGTGTCTGTATGTCGGTGTGTTTATTTGTCTGTCTGTATGTATGTATGTATGTATGTATGTCGGTGTGTATGTCTCGACCTGTTTGTCTGTCTCTGTGTCTCTGTGTCTCTGCCTGTCTCTTTGTCTCCGTATGTCTGTCTGTCTCTGTCTGTCTGTTTGTCCATCTGTCTGTCTGTATATCGGTGTGTTTGTCTCTGTCCACTGTCTGTCTGTATGTCTGTGTGTCTCTCTGTCTGTTTGTCTGTCTCTGTGTCGTGTCTCTGTGTCTCCGTCTGTCAGTCTGTCTGTATGTCTGTCTGTCTGTATGTGTCTGCCTGTCTAACCGTCTATCTGTCTGTCTGTGTCTGTCTGTCTGTCTGTCTGTCTGTCTGTCTATGCCTGTCTGTCTGTCTGTCTGTCTGTTTGTTTGCCTGTTTGTCTCTGTCTGAATCTGTCTGTCTGTGTCTGTGTCTGTGTCTGTGTCTCTGTCTGTCTGTCTGTGTCTGTGTCTGTATCTCTGTGTCTCTGTGTCTCTGCCTGTCTCTGTGTCTGTCTGTATGTCTGTTTGTCTCTGTGTCTCTGTCTCTCTGTCTGTCTGTCTGTCTATCTGTCTGTGTCTGCCTGTCTGTCTGTCTGTATATCTGTATGTCTCAATGTCTCTGTGTGTGTATGTCTGCATGTCTCTATGCTCTGTGTCTCTGTTGCTTGTTCTGAGTGCTCTTGCTGCAGCCCCAAACTGTTATCTCTGAGAGCCTGTCCCGATCTGTCGCTTGTGCTGAGTGTTCTCGCTGCAGCCCTGAAATGTTATAGTCCTATAACCACTGAGCAGTCCTGACATGCCACAATGGTTTCAGTTCTACAATCTCTGAAAGACTGTCCTGGTCTCTTTTGAGTGTTCTTGTTGCACCCCTGAAATGTTATAGTCCTCTAACAACTGAGCAGTCCTGACATGCCACAATGGTTTCAGTTCTACAATCTCTGA